AACCCCCCCCCCCCCCCCCCCCCCCCCCTTTTTTTTTCCCCCCCCCCCCCCCCCCCCCCCCCCCCCCCCCGCTGCCGCAGCCTGCCCGCGTTTGACAAGCTGCACAGCCTGCTGACGACCGTGGGCGAGGAGCTGGGCGACCAGCCGCTCTACCTCAACCTGCACGACATCTGCAAGACGCTGCGCACCTCGCCGCCACGCTCAGAGGCCTTCCGCTCCGCACTGGTCAACGCCGGGTACAGGTGGGGTGGGGGGCTGCGATGTGGAAGGAGCATAATGGAGCAGGGGCAGGCAGCCGGGCCGGCGCCCACCGCCCATGAGGCTCCCCCTCGCGCCCGCCCGCCTGCCGCAGGGTGTCTGGCACGCACGCCAACCCGCTGGGCATCAAGACGGATGCGCCCTGGAGCGTGGTGTGGGACATCATGCGCTGCTGGGTCGGGGAGCACCCGGTGAAGACGCCGGCGCCTGGCTCCGCAGGTGTGTGTGTGCGCGTGTGTGTGCGTGTGTGGGTGTGGTGGTGGTGGTGGTGGTGGTGGGGGGGGGTCTGGTCCGTTGGCGGTGGCGGTGGCGGCGCCTGCAGCACCTGCAGGCCTGCAAGGCTATGCCAGCTGCTCGCCCTCGGATCGGGGCGGTGCCTGGCTGCGCTGCGCCCCTCTCCCCGCTTGCGTGCTGGGCCCCTCCTCGAACGAGCTGCCACCACGCCCCTCACCCATCCCTGCGGCGGCCGCCTCGCCTCGCCCTCGCAGCCGAAAAGATCCTGGCCAAGGAGCCCGAGGTGAAGGCAGACTTCTCGCGGGCGCAGCAGGCGGTCAGCAAGGCCAAACAGAAAGGGGTGGCGCGGTTCCTGCCCAACCCAGGTTTGTCACGCGGCGCTTTCTTTGTTGGCTGCGGTGCGCCGCTGCTCACACCCCTCGCCTGCCTGGCGCCGGCTGCAGAGGCCAACTGGGGGCCCAAGCCGCGGCACGGCCGCCCCGCCAAGCAGCAGCGCTACGAGGATGGGCTCAAGCAGCAGTCGCAGCCACAGCCGCAGCAGGGCGAGCAGCAGCAAGAGCAGGAGGAGCAGGCTGCTGCGCTTCGCACCGAAGCGGCCGCGCCAGAAGCAGCAGGTGAAGCGGAGGGGCTCCCGGACCAGCAAGCGGATGGTGGCCCGGCGGCGGCAGAGAATCCAGCCAGCGGCAGCGCCACTAAGGTTGACCCCGCCGGTGACGGCCAGCTGGAAGCTGAGAAGGCACAGTAATGGGAGTCACAACAACACGCATGTAATCAGCAAGCGACATCCAGCCATGCGAAATGCAAGGTGTGCAAGAACGCGAGCAACCACCAGAACAGGGGAAGAGCGGAGTGGCCTGTTGATTGAGACAAAGCGAGAGTATGAGCAGGCAATTCACGAGCGCCGGTGCATGCTTCGGTGCATGCCACCTGCTGGCAGCCGCGCCTCTTGCTGAACAGCCCTGGGAGGATTGCGTCGATCCCAGGCTGCTCCGCTCCTAGCCCTCTGGCAGCTGGCGACCGGCTTTGCCAGCTAGCTCGGTGCCTTTGGCGCCTGTGCCTGCCTCCCTGCCTCAGGCTCCGCCCATCGCCCCAGACTTGGGCTCGACGTCCTGTGTAGATGCATCCTCCTCCTCCTCCTCCTGCACAGCGCGGCACACGGTGGGCAGTGCAGCTGGCAAGGTGGCGCGCCCACTGAGGCTGCTTGCTGGCCCGGCACAAAGGCGGCTGCGCTGACGCGCTCCATCTTGCCCCGCCCAGCAAGCAACCCACCTTCAGAGTGTCCACAGTCTGCCGCTGCATCTCGTCGATGGGGCAGTCGGGACACTGCAACAGCAGAGCAGGGGGAGCAGACAGGCCAGCGTCCGTCGAATCTGGGCATCGGCAGCCGTGCTCGGGCGACGCACAGCGAGGATTGCGGCGCCGGCTGCCAGCGCTGGCTGGCCAAGCAAGCTGGTGCCGCCCTTCCGCAGGGGCTCACTTCGCGCTCCGCCTTCACCACCGCCTCGGAGTCTGACGCCAGATGCTCGTTCCACCCCGGCACCTGCTTGATGTGCGACACGGTCTTCCCTGCGGCCAGCTGGAGAGGGTGGCAGTGAGTGCCCGGGCGGCTGAGGGCGGGGTGTCAGGCGATGGATGCGGCTGGCGGCAGGCGGCAGGAAGAGCCAGTGCTGCCCACGTGCCCTTGAGCTGCTTCTGCTTCTCCTTCTCCAGCGTCTGCGCAGTGGGAGGACAGCTCAGGCCACTCTGAGCGTCGGACACCAGCATGCTGCAGCAGCGCGCCTTGGACAATCCCTAGAGAGCCCTGGAAGAGCCCCTGCGCACCTCTGGGTCATTGTCCGCCACGTGCGAGCCGAACCCATAGAGCCTGGTCTGGCTCTGCTTGGCGCCCCGCAATTGGGGCACCAGCAGCGGGCGGCTGGCACGCAGAGCGTTCTGCAGCATCGTGAAGAGTGTGCGCGGAGTCGTGCAGAGCGACTCATGGCTGGGGAAACTGGCGCCTCAGCGCGCCAGCTGGCGCCGCCGCTCTTGTTTCCAGGCTGCATGCATCCTCCGTGCCTGCCAGCCAAGCCCGTCGGCACATCAGGTGGCAGGGAGTCTCCAGCGTGCCGAATCTGGCCAGGCAGGCTGCAAATTGTGGGCCAGGCAGGCCGCCATCACGAGCCGCCGCCGCCGTGGGGGCCGCCCCGCCCACCACCCGCAGCCCCCGACCTGCCTCTGGCTCGTGGGACAGCTTCACCAGGGTGGCATCCAGCAGGGAGTTGGCCCACTCCAGCGCCTGCTCCATGCGCGGCAGCACCAGCCCCGCAGGCAGCTCCAGCAGCGGCTTCCACCCCGCGGCCCAGCCGCCCACCAGGCGGGCATCCTCGCGGTGGCGAGGCCTCACCGACAGCATGTGTGAGGTGCTGCAGAACCTGCCGCAGGTGCTGGCCGTACAGCACCTGCAGTCGTCCGCCGCTGCCGCCGCCGGCAGCGACAGACCCACTTCCTCCAACGCCGTCTCGGATACCAGCAGCAGCAGCAGCAGCAGCAGCAGCAGCAGCAGCAGCAGCAGCAGCAGCAACGACAGCTTTAGCAGCGGCAAGAGCGAGGAGGAGGCGGCGCGGTGCAAGAGCAAAGGCGGCTATAGCTCGCCCCTGAGCGCCGGCACGGTGCGGGCACGGCTGGTGGCAGGGAAGAGCCGCCCCTGAACGGCCGCACCGGCTCTTGACCATGAATTTGCTGAGCGGCGGCGTGCAGCGGGTGCAGTGCCGGGACAGCCAGGAGCGAGTGCAGCTGCGGCCCAGCACCAGTTGCGAGCCGAAGCAGGAGCAGGGCACTGGCAGGAGCGGGGAGGACAGGCGCCCGGGTGACCGCAGCGATTTGCGTTGCATGGGGCATAGCTGATGCATGTGGCGCTGGTGGTGGCTCGTCCCAGCTCAGCTGGGTGCCGGCTTTTGGCTGGGCTACTCCCTGCCTTTGAGCGTTCGCATGCTGTGCAGTACCTCGTGTCACACTGCCACAGCTCTTTCACACTGCCACATCAGCTCTTTCACACTGCCACAGCTGTGTGCCTTGTGGCTCCCTGCCTAGGCAGGCTACGTGGTGTGTGATGAGTCAAGCATGTGAGATGAGCGGTGAGCATGAAGTGGCCACCCTTGCATGCGTCTTCTTGTACGGGAAGGGATGACCCCAGGGAGGCGAAGGGGCCCATCCCGCTGCTCACCAAGGGGGAGTTACATGCAGAATCTCAACATGTAAAGTGCAACAGCATGCCATGCAAAATGCAGATGGTTATACAAATTAACAACCTATTCTGGAGTGAACCGCCAACCAATCTAGCAGGACAAGGGCAGGGAACAGCGGTCGGCTGCCAGGTAGGGATTTCGGCATGCATTCAAAAGGTGCGGGCATGCAAAAGGGCATCAGCCCTGCAGCCCGCGGCGCTGGCGCTTGAAGCAGCGAGACGCCTCCACCGCTGCCGCCGCCTGCTGAACAACCTCTGCCTCTGGGTCGGCCTGCAATGCCGCGTCCAGGGCGTCGTGCGCAGCACGCCAGGCAGCCGCGGCGCGAGCCCACTCTGCTGCAGCATTAGCCTGGTGCACAGCCGGCTGGGCCGTAGCGTGTTCCGTGGCCGCTTCGGCGGCCGCCTCATGCCCCGCAGCAGCAGCGGCCCAGGCCACGGCAGCAGCGGCAGAAGCCTCGGCTGCGGCAGCCCGCGTGTGAGCGGGCCCAGGCGCTGGTGCCTGGGGCGCGGGAGGCCAGGGCCCGCTGGGGAGCGGCGGCGGCAGCGGCGCCGCCGGTTTGGAAGGCTTGCCACGCGCGCCGCTGGCGCCTTTGCCCTGGCGTGACTGCTCCTCCAGCCCCCTCCTACTTTCTTTGAATCTCCTACGAAGCTCCTCCAGTTCTCGTTCGTCATCCTCATCCCATTGGTCGAACCTCCTACCGTCGATCTGGCTGCGCTGTTGCTTGAGCTCCTCCCGCTGTTGCTTGACCTTCATCATGTCGATCTCGTGGCGAATCCGAAACTGAAGCATTTCCTGCTTTGTGCTGGAGCTTGGTTTGGATCTTGGTTTGCAGGTAGGCCTCTGGTTTGGAGCTTTGCTCAAACAACCAATCCCACCATTGGCGCTGCATGCCCTGCATGTCAAGAGGTGGACGGCAAGGAATGGGTAGGCGGGCAGGCGAGTACGGAATGACAGCGGAACCGCCACGCAGAGTTATGCTGAAGCATGCAGCAGCTTGGGCAGGCCAGCAGGCGCGCAGTCACAGCGTACACGTTGCAGGAGCCACACACGACCTTACTTACGCTCGCAGGGCTCTGGTCGGGGCGCCGCTCGTGCGCCTCGCCGCCGCCGGCACTGCCAGGGGCCGCTGCAGCGACGGCCACCAGCCTGGGGCGCCACGCCTTACGTGCTGCGGGCACGGCAGCGAGCGAGAGCGAGGCCTGGCGAGGAAGGGGGACGGGCGGACCAACATGACTTGGGTGATTGTGGCTATGGTGTCGAGGTTGTGTGCAAAGTTCGGCTTGTCACAGCCGTGGCACCGCGAAAAGACGAAGAGTACCTAAACAAATCTGAAGAAGGGCCTCCTCGCGTGTCTTACAAAGCACAGTTCTGCGGTACTGGGGAGGAAATGGGGGGTAAATCGATTGCCTCGCCATGGGGCAGCCACCCTCAATCGGGCGGGCAGGCGGCAGCCAGGCTGCTCCCTCGGTCGGTGGCATGCGCCGCTGTCCCCGGGGGTGGGCGGCGTGCTCACCGCCGTCGCCGCCGCTCCTGGACGCCATCAGGACACGACAGCCAACGCAGCGTGGGCGTCGCGCCCGATTTCAAGCATGCTGAAATGGCCGCCACGGAGACCGCGGGGCGGCATCAACGTGGCCATCTTCATGAAGTTCTGATTCCATAAAGTTCTTCGATTCCTGTGACCAAGCGGAGTTTTTCCAGTCTGCATGAGGAGATTTCAACGTTGTATCCAACGTCCTCCATGCATCGCTGCAGGAGGTTTCTCAGAAGGAGTGGGTTTTACAGACCTGCCAAACATCACACCCAGGGCATCCATCCCTCATACATTCTGGCCAGGTTGGCGGGGGCTGTGGCCGCGGCAATCAGCTCCCGCACCGCCGCCGGCACGGCTGTGGCACCGTTGCCGCTGCCGCCTGCGCTTGCCTTGTCCGCCACTCGCTGGCCCAGCAGCTTGGCCCTGAATCGCTGCAGCAGTGTTGCTGCATACTGCCGCTGCTCCTCCTGCTTGAGCCCATGCCGCCGGCTGGGGGCCGCCGGCACCAGCATCAAGCCCCCCGTCAAGGTGCCACGCGCTGCGGCGGGCGAGGGGGCAGAGGCCGGCGGCGTGCCTGCTGCCTGCCCCTGCAGCAGTTGCTCCAGGCCGTGCAGGCTGAAGCCGTGCTGCTCCTGCAGGGCCTCCGCCTGCTGGGCGGCCTGGGCTGCAAGTGCCTGCAGGCTGGTCGGCAGCGCCGCCAGCCAGCGCTGCACTTGCGCCGCTTGGTCCAGCTGCAAAGGGAGCGTCCAGGCGGAGCCAGCAGAACATCTCAGCACTTCGGCATGGGGCAGCTGGAGTGGAAACGGGAGGCCACCGGTCCAGGCACTGTGGTGTACTGCCTGTGTACCACGCCCACCATACAGCAACCCGCGCACCTGCGGCTGCAGCTGGGCCACCGCGGCGCTCAGCGCATCCACCACCTGCGCCGCCTGCTGCTTGGCGGCCGCCTCGCCCCTGCCGCCCGCCAGCAGCTTGTTGCGCACAGGCAGCAGCGCGGCCTGCAGCGCCGCCACGGCGGCGGGCAGCTCCCGCAGGCAGCCGGCCGCCGCCGCCAGCCGCTCGGCGGCCTCGTCTGCTGCTGCGGCTGCGGCGGGCACGGCGGCGGCGCCGACGTCTGCCAGCTCGCCCACCCAGTGCTGAGCCAGGCGCAGCCGGCCCTCCCAGTCGGCACAGCCTGCCAACAGCGGCAGCACCTGCCCCACCGCAGTCGGCAGCTGCTGCGTGGCGTGGACGAGGGGCAGGGCGGCGGCGGCAAAGGCGGCCGCAGCGCTGCTGCCCGCTGCCTCTGCTGACTGCATGATTGAGGTGGCCTCTGCACGCCGCTGGCGCAGCTGCTCAAGCTCGGAGGCGGCCATCGCCAGGCGCCGCTCGGCCGCCGCGTAGTTGCCGTGCAGCTGCTGCATGTGCCGCACCAGGGTGGCGTAGCGGCGCCACCCCTCCCGCTGCTCAACCTGATAGCGGTCGGCGGCGGGCTGCAGCTGGCCTGGCCCCACGTGGGCGCCGTCCTGGGTGTCGGCGGTACGAGCCGCCTCGAATTGCAGTACTGCCTGGCTGGCCTCCAGAAGGTACGCGGCGTGGCCTGCAGCCGCCGCCAGCCAGTGCTGCTGCTGGTGCAGGTGGTGCTGCAGCTGGGCTGCCGCATACGGCGCAGTCGCTGCCACCTCACCCGCCACCTGCTGCTGTGCCGCCGCCATGGCGGCCTCCCACTGCTGCAAGGGAGCCTGCAGGCTGAGGAGGGTCCCCGACCCAGCCTGCAGCTGCTCCAGCAGCTGGCGCCGGCTGCCGCGCAGCGCCCAGGACGCCACCGCGGGGTGCAGGGGCGGCAGCGCTGCGCCCGCCGCGCCCGCCGCAGCCGCGCTGAGCTCCACAGCTGCCACCAGGCCAGCGGTGGCGGCGGCTGCCTCCGGCGGCAGCAGGTGCTCGTTCACCCATTGGAAAGCCGCCAGCTCAGCGCAGTGCTGCTGCCGCACGCGACGGCACTGCTGCAGCGCCAGCCCGCTCACATACTGAGCCGCATCCATGGCAGCCAGAGCGCCGGTGGCATCAGCTGCCGCCGCCAGCAGCGCCGCAAGCTGTTGGGCGCCGCCTGCCCCGCCGATGCTGCTGCCTCCCTCTCCCTCGCCCACCTCTTCTTCTGACAGCTGGCTCAGGCCGCCGCCGCCCTCCAAGGACTCAAACTCCGCCCCAGCTGCCGGCTCCAGCTCCTCAAGCAGATCATCTGCAGGGCAGGTTGGTGGGTGAAATGGGAAAGCAGCGAACATGGAGGGTGCGCCGCCGCGCTCGAGGCCCAGGGAACACACCAGTCCAGGCGTGGCCGGTGTGTGCTGTTGGCAAATGCAATGCTGAAAACAAGATGAAAGCTTGCAGCCCACCTGCGCCCGCCAGGTCCTCATCAAAATCCAAAAACGGAACCAGGGCAGCCTCGGCTGCCCCGCCAGGCTGGCGTGCCGCCAGCTGGAGGCCGCCGCCGCCCCGACCCGCTGGCTCCAGCTCTTCCGTCAGCAGTCCGCCCAGCAGCATGCCCGCGCCAGGCAGCTCGCCGTCATCAAAGTCGGTGAATGGTACCAGGTCTGCGCCAGCAGGCTGTGGCGCCGGCGGCGCATGGGCCGGGCTGGAGCCAGGCAGGATGGGCAGCGGGGCAGGCTCTGGTGACACCAGCCCAGAGCGCCGTGCTAGGCTGGGAGCAGCAGCGCGCAGCGTCGCAGACGTGCTGCCCAGGGCTGCTGCCAGGGGGGGCAGCAAGCGATGTGCCACTTCCGCGGCCACCGCTTCCCCCAGAACGGCGCTGCATTGCTGCCAGGGAGCGCCGTCGCCGGTGCCCGCCGCTGCCACCACTTCTTCCGTGCTGCTCTCTGCTGCCGCTGCCTCCTCCATTGCGTCTTCTAGCTCCTGCCACGTGCTCACCACCGCGCCAGCCAGCGCCAGCTGCTGCTGCGCCAGCGGACGCCGCTCCTCTCCGGCCGTCAGCAGCTGGGCCGCGGCCTGCACCTGCTGCAGGCCTTGCAGCAGCCCAGCAAACGCGGCGTGCTGCCCCGCTGCCGCCAGCAGCGGCTGCATAGCGGCCGCTGCCCGCTCCTCCTGCCACATGCGGGATGGTACACGCAGCTGCTCCTGCCCCTGTTCCTGCTCCTCCTTCCCTCCAGCCGCTCCTGCTGTAGCTGTCCCTGTTTCCTCCTCCTCCTGAGCCTCCCCCTCCTCCTCCTCCTCTAGCTGCTCGGCAGCTGCGGCCACGGCGTCCGACACCTGTGCTGCTGTCGCAGGTGTGCACAGTAGGGCCAGCAGCGGCGGCAGCAGCAGCTGCAGCTCCGCGCTCCCAGTGCTGAGCCTGTCAACTGCCTGCACCGCCGCCGACAGCCAGGCCAGCAGGTTGCCGCCATCTGGCGCCAGGAAAAACTCCTCAGAAGTGGTGTCCCGCAGCGCCACCGCGGTACTGGCGTAACCCAGGACCAGCCGCTCCACAGCTGCCAGCAGCGCCCCCGCCTCCTCCTCAGGAAAAGGCTCTGCCGCCACATCCTCCTGCTCCTCCTGAACCAGCTGCTGGTGATGATCGGCCGCCAGCTGCTGCACCGCCGCCGCCTGCGCCTCGCTCAAGGCAGCAAACGCAGCCGCCAGCGCCATTGCACCCTGCTCGCCCTGCTGGCCTGCGCCTGAGGCGGCGGTGGGCTTGGCGGCTGCAGCCCAGCAGCCCTCAGCAACATCTCGCATTCGCTGCAGCGCATCTGATGCTGACAGGGCGACGTCCACTCGCTCCAGCCGCAGCGCCGCCGCGGTGCCACCCAGCTGCTCTGCCAGCCCGGCAGCCGCAGCCGCCGAAGCGGCCAGCGGCCGCCAGCTGGCAAGCACTACGGCTGGGTCGGGACGGCGTGGCGCCAGCTCAGCAGCACGTTGGAAGCCCTGCACGAGGCGGGGGCAGAGAGATCAAGGGGAGGAGGTTGAGGCCGGCGAGCAGGCAGGCGCAGGTGTGGAGCCAGGGAGTGTGCGGTGAGCCAGCGCAGGTGGCGGCAAAGCGGGGCACCCACCTGGGGCGCAGGCAGCTCCAGGGCGGCTTGGAATGCGGCCAGCCAGTGGGCATGCTGGCTGCTGTTGCTGTAGTGGGCGCCGCCCAGCAGGCAGGCCACGGCGGCGGCATACTGCTGCAGCGCCGCCGCCAAGTGCAGCGCCGCCGCCGACCGCTCCTGCAGCAGCTGCTGGCCCTGTGCATCCAGCTTGGCTGCCTGCAGCAGCAGGCCCGCCGACAGCGGCGCATGCCCGGGCAGCATGCCCAGTGCGGTGTGCACGATGCTGCCGCTGCCGTCGCCAGTGCCAGCGCCGGCTGGAGAGGTGACCAGCAGGAGTGGGGCGCCCGAAGCGGCTGCCGCTGCCACGGGGTCCATAATTGCGGGGCCCGCCAGCAGCGCTGCTGGAGGGTTGTTGAGAAGCAGGGGCAGCAGCGCGTCGTGCCGCTGCTGCCAGGCCTGAAAGTGAAGGGAGGAGGGCGCCACGGCAGGCAGGAAGGCAAGCAGGCGGACAGCAGCTCAGCGGTGTAGGGAAGGCACCCGGGCTGCCTCCCACCGCTCCAATTAATCAAGCCTGCTGGCACCCCTGCCCAGCTCTCGCAAGAGCAAAAGCGCGCACCTGGCACTCCTGGAGGCTCGCCAGCACCTGGCCCGCCACAGGCTGTGCCTCGGCCAGCACTGCTGCCGCCGCCGCCCGTCCCTCCTCCGCCTGTGCCGCCAGCTGCTGCTCCTGCGCTGCGGCACTGCCCAGGGTGGCCTGGCAGCGCTGCAGCACGGCATGTGACTCCGCAGCAGCGGCCGCAGTGCCAGCTACTGCCAGGAATTGGCGCACGTAAGCGTCCAGTGCGGTTGTGGCGGCCGCCAGGCTGTCGCCCGCTCCGCGCGCTGCGGATGCCAGCGCATCAGCGCTGCCCGTCTGGCGCAGTGTAAACAGCTGCAGCGCCACCGCCTGGCCAAAGGCCTGCACAGGAGGGAGGGAGGGAAGGGGATTGGGGCAACTGCTGGATACATTGATGGAAATGGACAGGAGCAGAGGATGCCTGCTTCCACGCCTCCTGCTGCTGCTGCACGGCACCCCAGCCTGCTCCACTACTTGCCTTGCTGCCCGCTTTGGCCGCCGCCTCCGAGTCCCAGTCTACGGCCGGGTCCAGCAGCGCTGCCTCCAGCAGCGCGCACAGCGACGCCTCGTTGGCACGCAGCGCGCCCAGCGCATGCTCGCACCCCAACCGAAACGCCCCCTCCGTGCCTGCACGGGCGGGGAAGCGCGGGCCGACACGTGAAAGAGGCGCAAATGAGACGTGGGGCCAGAGATCCGCAGTCTGCTCGTGCATGCCGCACGCTCGCTGGCTTCCCAGCACTGCTCCTGGCTCCCACCTGTGATGCCCAGCGCCGCCACCAGCGTCTGGGTGAGGCGGAACGGCACCACCTCAGGTACCTTGAGCTGCAGGCCCCTGCAGATCAAAAGCCAGGCGATAAGGCAGCAATGAGCTGTGTAGAGGTTCCCCGAGATCAGAGCAGGCTCAGGCGGTCGTCACCACAGCGGGGCGCCACGGCGTGCCTGTCAAACACCACGCTGAAGTCAATGTGCACCAGGTGGGCGGCGCCGCGGTGGAGCAGCACGTTGTCCAGGTGGCGGTCGCCCAGGCCCAGCAGGTGGCCCACCTGCAGCGATAGGGAGGGGCACGTTGATACCAGTATGAGCAGCCGCCTGCTGGGGCAGGCGGCGCCATCTGGCGCCCAATAGCCCTGTTGGAATTTTCCAACCAGTGCTGCCGCTGCCCGTGCGCTGTTGTTTGCGCGCCAGCAGCTGCTTGTGCGCTCAGCAGGCTCTAGCAGGGCGGTCGGTCGGTGACCCCGCACCAAACCCCGTCCATTGGGGTGTCGTCGCGGTAACAGCAAAATGTGAGAAACCGTTTGCAGAGGCGGTTGTGGGAACAGCACTCTCCGGGGAACACAGCCCGACGAACAGACGGGATGCACATTGGATCGCTGTTTCCCGGCTCGGCACGCCCATAGAGCGCTGTGGAGGCGTGGGGCAGCGTAGATTTCGCGCAGCGGCGCGGTGCCGCTCGCCACAGCGCAAGCCCATGACTTGGGTGGCGCCGCTGCCGCCCACCGCCGTCTCTGCCTGCTGTTGCAGGGCGCTGTTGGAGAGCTTCCGGCGGGCGGACATCAAGGCGCAGCAGTCGTTCAAGGACGCCAAGACAGGCCATGAGCTGTCCCAGTCGGTGTTCCAGGACGTTTACGTCGGGTGCGCCGGCAGGCGGGGGCTTAGGCGGTTGCGCGGCGGCTTAATGGGGCTTGCTGCTCGGCTGTCCCACTGGCAAACACGCGCCGCCACTGCTTGCAGGGTGACCAGCGGCGCGCTCAAGGTGCACACGGCGGTGGCAGGCGGCGCCGAGCAGGTGGCCAACTTTTTCAAGTGAGTTGGCGACGCTAGGGCACTACCATGATGATGCCACTGGCATGTCAGCACGGCCAGCGATGCCACGAAACATGCTGAGGCCTGCCATCCCCGCGGCGGCCGCTGCAGGGGCCTTGTGGGTGGCAGCAGCAAGAGCGCGGGTCCCTCCATCCCTGCGGAGCTGGTCACGCCAGAGGGGTCCCACCCAGACCTCGCGGTATCGATGCAGCCCAAGGAGGTGGATGCGCCCAGGAGCACCAGCAACGTCAGCGCCTCCTCCGCCTCCACAGCCTGGACCGACGGCGAGCATCCGCCCAGCAAGCTGGAGCGTGAGTCCGGCACATACCGGGTGGACTACCAGGTGGGGTGCGGCTGTGTGGGGCGTCCGCGCGTGGTGGCCCTGTGTGCGTGTGCGCAAGGTGTCGGGGGGCCTGCCCCCAGGTTGGCCAGACCGGGAGCGCAGGTGTTGCAGCTGGGCCCGGCCCGGCCTGAACACACAGCAGAGGCCACGGCAGCAGCAGAATTGTGCGCTGCCGTGCTCCCCCGGTGACACTGCTGGCCCCCCCTGCCTGTTGCCCCGCCCCTCCCCACAGAAGTACCCCATCGCCGGCTACGTCAAGCTGCCCTACGCGCTGCAGCCCTTTGTGCAGCTGCCCTACCTGGACCATGTGGTGGTGGTGGCCAAGCCCAGCGGGGACGTCAGCGGCGGGCTGGAGAACTACAGAGAGGTGCGGGGGTGGCGGGCGGCCACGCGGGGCTCCGGGATGGAGGCTCCAGCGGGGCAGCAGCCATGCGGCCTGTCAGGCTCTGTTCTCCAGGACTTTCCTTATTTCCCAAAGGCTTGCCCGTTTTCACCCTCCCCTGCTTGGCTGCTGCAGTCTGTGTCCAAGCCTGAGCGTGCGGCTGCGCCCATCTTTGCTGTCATCGACACCCCCGGCAAGGTGGTCAAGGACAAGGGCTACCTGTGGATCGAGGTGGGGGCGGCCAGCTGCTGGCAGGGCAGGGCGGTGCCGCAGGAGCAAGGCTGCTGCTTGGTCCGCCGCGACACCTGCTGCCGCCCACCACCACCAACCCATGCTGCTGCCCACCACCACCAAACTCTGCTGCTGCCCACACACCCCAGCGCACCCCCAAACCACCCACAAGTCGCGCCCGCCCCCGCTGGCCGCAGATCCCGCTGTCCGACATCTTCAAGCTGAATGTTGGGGAGATGAAGGGGGTTGAGGACTACATGAAGGTGCTGAGCAAGAAGGGGCGGTGGAACTACAAGGACCGGCAGAAGAAGTTCAAGCAGGGGCTGACGTGCGAGCACGTGCCGCTGCCGCCCGGCTCCAAGGAGCTGGTGGATGAGCTGTGGCCGCTGTACAAGAAGTGAGTGGGGTGGTGGATGCAGGAAGTGGGTAGGGTGCTTGGTGCAGGAAGTGGGAGGAGGCGCGGCTTAAGCACACACCACCCCGCACCCCACAGCACCGGCGAGCGCAACGGCTTCACGGTGCTGACTGAGGCCGAGTTTTACGACTTCCACCTCACCACGCCAGACCTGACCGTCATGCTGATCAGGGTGGGTGGGGGTGGGCGCCGGCGCGCGGGTGAGGCTGGGAATTGGCGGCCGGGCGCCAGGGTTCCCGGCGGCGCAGCCTGCCATGACCCGAACACACACACACATGTGCCTGCCTACCGCCGACGCTTCCATGCACTCCGCGGCGCCCGCAGGACAAGGACAGCGGCGGGCTGGTGACCTTCTGCACGGGCGTGCGGGCGGGCGACACGCTGATGCCCATGTGGTGCGGCACCGACTACGACAACGAGAAGAGCAGGCAGTGTTCCTCGTACTTCAACATGCTGTACGAGGTGCGGGACTGGGGGGGGGGCTGCCCACCTACGTGGCGGTGGTGGCGGCGGGAGGACAGCAGCAGGCAAGGAGCGGCAGACAATGGCGCAAAGCCGCAGGTTGTCTTACGGCCTCGCATCGGACAGAATGGCGCGCTCACACTGCCCCGACCTCCCCCTGCTCTGCCCCCTGCCCCGCCCCGCCCTGCAGTATGTGAAGATTGGCATCGCCGATCCCACCATCAACTGGATAGACCTGGGCGCCTCCCGCCGCTCAGCCAAGGTGGCCATCGGCTTCACCGGCTACCCAGTCAGGTGTGGCAGGGCGGCAGGGGGGGGTGCGCTGGGCAGGGCTGAGGACCGGCAGTGGGGGACGGCCAGGGTTTGACGATGGGCCAAAGGAGGGGCCAGCAAGGGCGAGCAGTGGAGTGCTCCGTTGCCCACCAATCGTCCGAATGTTCGCCCCGCTCATGCTGGGCCTCACCCCCTCTCCTCACCTCACCGCCACTTCCTGCCCCACCCCCTGCCCTGCAGCATCTACATCCGGTGCAAGAACAGCGTGCAGGAGTCGCTGTACTCGCAGATGATGGCCACATACTTTAAGGTGGGACAAGTAAACCCTGGGCCTGGAGGCACTGGTGCTGGGCCTGGGGCAGCTGCATGGCGGCACGGGCTCAGCTTGCAGCGGGCCAGCTTGCTTGGCCGCAGGGCAGCTCAGCACCTGCCCACAACACCCTTCTGCCCGCTTGCCCTGCCGCAGAAGGAGGAGCTGATTAACGACCCCTGAGGTGAAGCTCACTGCGCTTGGCTCTGCCTGCCACCTAACCTGACACAGTGAGGCCCGCTCGAAAGGGGGGGGGCGGCTTTGGGCGCCAGCGAAAACTGGCTGGCTCGGCTTGTCGGCCAGTTCTGGAGCCGCCACCGCACCCATTGTAGGTGTTGTTTGGACTGACAAGCGTGTACTGTTTTGGTAGCAGTAGTATCCCTCTGCACTGAGCCAACCAAGGTACATGTATGATGCAACTGTTTTTTCCAAGCCTCGGTGCCCAGGCAATGCGCCGGGATTCTTGCATTGCCTTTCCCGGGAACTTCAGACTCGACCCAACCTTTGTACAGAGCTCTACATCTCTGTAACACTGGCTTTGCAGCAGCAGCAGCAGGTGTGAAGCCAGCGCAGCAGGCACTCACCACACTCATGGCAGCGGCGGAGGCCGCAAAGCGCCGCTGGCGCTTCCACCACTCTGCCGCGCCACTTGCGCCCAGCCACAACTCGCGCCACAGCAGCTGGCGGTCCACTGCAGGCAGCATGGCAGTCGGCGGTGGGGATACAAGGCAGAGCCGCTGTGTAGGTGAGGTGGACCAGATGCGCCAGCTGGCAGCTCGCCAGCGCCAGCGCAGCGCCAAACACAGTGCAGGCATGGGGCGCACCTGTCTGCTGCATGCTCTCCAGCACACGGACCAGCTTGGTCCGTGGCCATGCATCGCGCTGGGAGGCTGGATCGATGCCAGCCTCCTGCAGGCAGGGGCCGCAGGAGCCGGAGCGGGTCAGCGGGGAGTTAGTTCTAGACAGCAGTGCAACAAGGGCTAGCAGCCGGCCACGTTTGTACCTTCAGCTTGGCATAGAAGAGATCAATTGGCCGCAGCTGCTGCTGCTGCTGTGCCTGCTGTGCTGCCATCGCCTGCCGTGCGGCAGGACGCGCCACGGATGCGCCTGCCGCCGCGGTGGTCGGGCGTCCAAGCGGCAGAACAACCCTGCCGGCGCGAGCCTTAATGGCTGCCACTTTCGGCGCCGCAGCTCCTTTGGCAGCAGCTGCTGCCGCGACGATTACTGTGCGCTGCTGCCGCCGCTGCTGCTGCTGCTGCTGCTGCTGCTGGGCAGCTGCTGCGTCTGTTAGCAGGCGCTGGCGCTGCACACAGTGCTGCTGCCAGCCGGTGTAGACTTCAAACAGAGGCACGGTGCCCTCTACCCACTGCGGCAGCAACAGGGGGCACGCTGCTTGGCTCAGGGAAGCTGCCAGGGACTTTGTCTGTCTGCAGCATGCTGTGCGTTGCCCATCATGCGAGCGTCTTCAAACCCAGCATCTGCACAACAGCACCCAGAATCAGCAGCACGGCTGGACAAGCCCACCTGCACCAACCCCACTCGGCTGCCCAGAGGCGCCACCTCAAAGCACTGCTCGGCTGGCATGCCGCCACGCTCGCCGCCGCCGGCTTGCAGCGCGGAGCCGCAGGCGCGCAGCAGCAGCATGAGGCGAGCGTCGGCCCGGAGGTCCTCCCGACCCTGCAGAGGATAAGCGACGGAGGGCATGGTCTGGCAGGAGGCACAAGGAGCCACTCGCACAGGCATGGGAGCAGGCTGCTTGGCGCTCATGCAGGCTGCGCCAAGCAGAAGCGACACCCAGGGCGGCCGTGGCTGCGGTCACCTTGAGCAAGAACGTCTGCTGCACGCCGTCACTCCCCAGGAAGCGCAGGCGCTTGGGCCGGGTCTTCGTGGGAAGCACAACCACCTCGCCCGCCACACTGGCAACCGCCACCGGCGCTGCGCCAGCTGCCGCAGAAGGTGCGCCTCCCGCTGCAGGCGGGCGCACGTGCACGCCCAGCGGCGCAGAGCCCGCGCTGCTGCCGGGCATGGGTATGCCTGTGTCTGTGAGCTGGGCCAGCGCGGGAGCCACGTAGGCCAAAGTCAGCTGTTTGGAGCGCAGCGATGCAGCCAGGTCGCTGGCCGCTCCACGCAGCAGCGCCAGCGCCTTCTGCCGCGGCTGGCTGGATGAGGTGGTGGTGACGGAACTGCTGCTTCTGCCGCTGCTGGCATCGCTGGCGGCAACAGCTTTGCCAGCTACAGGAGCAGCTGCTGGCGAGTTTGCCAGCGGCTCGCTCAGCTGTTGCACCAGCAGGCGCAGGCGGGGCAGCTGCTGCTGGTGGAAGCGCTGTTCGTGCGGCGTCTCTGGGGCGGCCGCCTCGGCGGCCCGCAGCTGCTGCTGCAGGCACAGCAGCACCGGTGCCATGGCTGCCAGGTAACCATCCTCCCCTGCTGCTGCTGCTGCATCTGTGGAGCTGCCTGCTGCCGCAGGAACTGACTTCTTATGCTGCCCTTGCAGCCGCTTGGCGGCCGTGGCAGCGGCTTCCAGCAGCACCGAGTGCCAGTGCTCCTCCGGCAGCACCGCCAGCCTGGAAGCCTCCGCCGTGAGCACGCTCAGCTGGCCGGCCAGCAGTGGGTGCCGCTGCTGCAGCTCTGTCAGCAGGCCCGCCAGCTGCGCTCCGGGAAGCTGCAGCAGCGACGTTGCCTTCCCGCTTGCTGCAGGCACTGGCTGAGCAGCGGCGGCTACTGTGGTGGGCAGCAGCACCTGGCAAGGTGCAGCCTCGGCCACATGCAGCAGCAGGTCCGTCAAGAGCTGCTGCTGCTGCTGCTGCTGCTGTGGTGTGCCTTGGCTGTCGTCAGCGGTGCCATTTGCCAGCTGTGACAAGAGGTGCGGCACGACCGGCAGCCAGGCGTGCGCAGGAATGGCAGCCAACTGAGCAAGCGCATCGGCCGGCGGGATAAAGTTGTCTTGCTGTGTGAGCAGCTGTAGCACCTGCAGCAGCAGGGGCATTGCGGCGTAGCCGTCGCTGCTGGAGGTGCCGCTCGCAGCAGCGATGGCCAGAGCTCGGCAGCTGCTGGCGAAAGTGGCTTGTGCTGCTGCCTGCTGCTGCTGCTGCTGCTGCTGCTGTTGAGGCAGCTGGTGCATCCAAGTTGCCAACTGCCACCAGTGCCTGGCTGAGTTGGGGGCTGCTGCCACTGCTGCCTTTAGCGCGGCGTATTGCACTGCCACTCCCAGGCCCGGCTGCTGTTGCGCGCCTTGAAGAAGCTGCTGCTCCAGCAGCCCAAAACTGCTGGCGCTCGTGCTACTGGCCAACACTGGCAAGCATGCGCTGTGCACTGCCGCTGCCACTTCAGCTGTGGAGATGCCTGCCTCTGGCTGCTGAATGGCCAGCAGCAGCTGCGCTGCGGCCGGGGCCACTGCCGCGGCCATGGTGCTGCCCTGGGCATCCAGCAACAGGCGCCATGCGCTGCCACTGTCGCCATCTGCTGATGCTGCGGATAGCCGCCGTAGGCGCAAATGCTGCAGGCGGAGCAAAAGGCCGACGGCTGCTTCCGGTGAGCTCTTGCCATGGGCGAGGCCGCTGCCCGCTTGCTGACCCGCCTCTGCCCTGCCCACCAGGTGCAGCATGCATGTGGCGTTCCCGCCGCGGGCCGCCTCGCGGGCAGCTGCCACCAGCAGCATGCCTCGCTGCTGCTCAGACAGCGCTGCCCTGCCCAGCAAGAGCAGCAGGGGCTGCAGGGAGTGTGCACCAGATGGCATGGTGGTGGTTGCACTTGTGCCAGGTTCTGGTTGCTGCCATGCGGTGAACTGCTGCTGCAAACCGTGCTCGCCTGTTGCCACTGCTTCCAGCAGCAGCTCAGCAGGCAGCTGCAGCTGTCTGGAAGAAGACTCTCCTGCAAGCTCAGCCAGGCAGGCCGCTGCCGCGGTGGGTGCAGTGTTCATGGCGCCAGCAGGGTCAAGGCTGCCCAGCTGCAGCCTCATCAGCAGCTCTTGCCGGAGCGGGCTGCCATCGCCGGTCTGCTGCTGCTGCTCGGGTGTCTCCTCCCAGCTTGCCAGCTGCATGCAGCGGGCTGCCGCGGCTGCCGACAGCCTGCTCCCTGGTTTGGTCTGCACAGCAGGATGCGGCGGGAATCAGCATGTGGGCAGGGGAACACACTGGTCAAGACGGTTGAGACCAGGCATAAGGCGACCCATCAGAGCAGGGCAAGCACACCTTGAGCCATTGCCGCAACCCTGCTGCGTCTCCAACGGCTGCATACGCCTCGGCAGCAAGGCGCGTCAGAGTGCCAGCTGGCACGCATTGCAAGCTGGGAGCGGGTGCTCCCTGAGAGGTGGTGTACAGCTGGCGGTACTGCCTTGTGGCATCCTCATACCGCCCTGCCGCCTGGTGCTGCACCGCCTCCAGCCAGTCCCAGGCGGCTGTCGCAGCAGCTGCTGCTGCTGCGGTGCCAGCGGCTGAGTCAGTGCCAGCTCGAAGTGCTGAGCTGTCTCCTGACGCTGCCTGCTGCACATGCTGAAGGAGCGGCTGGAAGGCGCCCCGGCAGAAGGCCTGCAGGCCGGCAACTGCCTCTGCATCACCCAAGGCGCACATGGCTGCCGCTGCCACTGCCGCCGCCTCAGCCACCTTGGCCGCTGCAGCCTGCAGCTGCTGCTGGCTCAGCCCTCGGCCGCTGTGTGCGGCACCCGCGGCTCCTGCCAGCTGCTGCTCCCGGCGCAAGGCGGCATCTGGGCTGCCCCGTGTGGCAGCGAGCAGCACGGCTGCAGGGTTGGCGCCTGCCGCCGCGCTTTCCTCCTCCGAAATGCGCTGCTGCGTGCGGCCAGCCAGCGGCGTCTGCGCGGCGCCCACCAGGGATGCCACTGGCGAGAGGGCAGCATCTTCCTTCGCCCCTGCTGCTCCCTCCTCCTCCTCTGCCTCCTTCTCAGGGCCTCTGCCTGCGCCTGCGCCTTCCGCAGGCAGCAGCTTGTGCAGCTGCTGCTGCAGGTCGCGCAGACGCAGGAGGGCGTGGTATGCTGCCAGCTCGTGCAGCTGTGCCGCCGCCGCCGCGCGCAGCAGCAGCAAGCGCACCCGCGCAAACCATGCCTGGCACACCTGCGATTGATAGGAGGGCAGCTGGGCATACATAAAAGCGGCCTTTACACGCCAAGCTGGCTCGGCTGCCTTTCGCCTCGCTAAGCGCCAGAGGTGCAGTACCATTACCATTACCAGTACCATGCCGTGATCGGCCTGCCTGCCTACCTTATCATTGGCCGCAAAGAAAGTTGTGGCCGCCTGGCCTGGCGCAGCCCGGCCGCCGCCGCCGCTGCCGGCGGCGCTGACTCCCTGCTCCAGTGCTTGCAGGAAAAGCAGCAGCAGCACGGCCGCCTGCTGCCTCTCTGAGGTGCCGCGGCTGCCGTTCCCTTCCTCGCCTCCCTCCGCAACTTGCTCCGCTGCGCCATCGTCCGCGCCGCCCGGCTGCTGCTGCTCTTGCTGCCGAAGGCTACCCATCGCTGCCTGCAGTGCTTGCTCCAGGGCAGCCAGTGTTTGTGCAGGCCCGCCGTGGTGCGTCCGCAGGCGGGCGGCCACGCACTGCTTGGCCGCCTCCTGGACTGCCCACCATGTGGCCTGTGAGAGGCAGATAGGCGCATGCCTGCAGGCAGCCATTGGCAGGAGATCAAAAATAGGGGTCGGCATGCCTGAGTACATCAAGACACAAGAGCCAGACCAGAAACTTGCCCGATACAGCACAACACGGGACTGCAGGCTCCCAAACACTCACCAGTGCAGCCGAGACGTGGAGTCGGACGCACCGCTGCTGCGCTCACCAGCTGGCACAGCTGAAGCTTGCATGCTGTGCAGCAGGCGGGGCAGCCACTGGCGCAGTGAAGGCAGCTGCTGTCGCCCCGCGCTGGTCAGCACAGCCACAGGGCCGTCGCTGCCCGTCAGGTAGACGAGCCACTGCTGCAGCTGGGCTGGCCTGAAGCCTAGCTGTTGCGCCTGGAGTGCCACTGCCGCCGCTTCTGGCATGACGGCAGGGCCACTGGAGCTGTTGGGGGAAGTGGCCAAGGCGCCGCTCAGAGCTAGGGGTGCTGCTGCCGCAAGCAGCAGCTCCTGCGCTGCCTCAGCTGATGGCGGGTGGAGGTCGGAGAGGTGCAGGATGGCAGCCTGGAACAGCGCGGCTGCCAGCGTGGGGTCTTGAAGCAGCACCGCACAGCCCCTGCCGCTGCACACCCAGGCACGGGTGGCGCACAGCGCTGCAGCCCGCACCGCCGCACTCGGCAGGGCGGTGCATCCCAGGCTGGCCCGCAGCGCTGCGGCGACGCTGCTGCCGCTGGCCGTGCCTTGGATGTGTGCATTGTGTGGCCAAGCTGCCGCTTCTTGCAGCCACTGCAGCGCTGCCAGGAGGATTGGGTCGGCTGCTGCCCCAGCAACGCTGCCGCTGGTGAGGACGTCTGCCAGGAGCAGCAGTGCGTCGTCAGCAGCTGCTGCCAGAGCCACGCCATCGGTCGCCGCAGTGCCATGCTCCGTGCCTGCTGCCAGGTGCTGCCCTGCGGCCTGCAGCAGCCCGAGCAGCTGCAGCCACAGCCGGTGCGGCTGCTCCTCCTGCCGCTGACTGGCGGACACAGCAAGTGCGGAGCCCGGGCGCGCCAGAGGGAGCAGACGGCGCCACAGCGCCAGCAGCCCAGCGTCAGTCAGCTGCAGTGCTGCTGCCTGGAGCAGCTGCAGGTTGAAGAGCAGCAAGGCGGCAGGGCCTTCTGCTGCAGGCAGCTGCGCGCTGCTGGGAGGCTGCCGGGATGGCGCTTCAGCTGCGTCCAGCGCTGCTGCCTGTGCCACTGTGTCTGCCAGTAGCACCTCCAAGGCGGCCGGCGAGTGCTGCACCACCAGCACCAGCAGCTGTGCCGTGTGAAGCACCACTTCCTTGTTGCTGTAGGCACGCAGGCCCAGCAGCCAGGCGCCGGCATCGCTCTGCCTGCCAGGCTGGCCGGGTGCTGGCAGCAGCGCAGCTGGCTGCTGCTGCTGCTGCACCATCATGTGCGCCCAGCTGCGCGCAGCTGCCAGCAGGGCCAGCACCGCGGATGGCTGCGCCAGCACGCACGCTTGGCTGGCCGCCGCCGTGGCGAAGGAAGCCACTGCCCTAAAGAGCTGCTGCAAGCCGTTGGCCTGCTGTGCTGTTGCCCCTGCCGGTGGCTGTGGCCCACAGCCCAGCTTCAGGTGGATGGGCTGCGACTCTGCTGCAGCCAGGGAGAGAGCCGCCTGGGGATCCTGCATGTTGAGGCGCTCCACGCCACCAGTGATGAGCTCATCAGTGACATGCTGCCCACCTGCTGCTTGATGCGCCTCAGCCCCGGCGCCGCCACCTGATGGAGGGCTCGCTTCGGATGCGGCGGCTGCCGCAGCAGCGGGCGCCAGAGCCGAGAGCCTGGCCACATGCCCCGCAAGCTCTGCTGTCAACGCTGGGGCCGCGGCCGGCATGCCCGCTGCCGCTGCCAGCACTGCTTCCCTGCAGATTCCCACCAGCTGTTCCAGGTGCTGCTGGCAGGCTGGCAGACGGACCGCTGCTGCGGCATCCAGCAGCGGCAGCACACAGGCGGCCAGCGCCAGCAGCTGCCGCAGGCTGCCTGACGGGACGCTGGCGGCCTCACCACTGCTGCCATCTGCGGCTGCCGCGGAGGCGGCCGCCTCCTCTGCGGCTTTGCCGGCAAGGCGCTGCATGTCTGCCAGCAAGCTGTCCAGCAGGGAGGCGGTGAAGGCGGGTTGCTGCCGCCACTGGGCGCCAAAGGCTGCCAGCGTGCGGCTCAGGCCAGGCCTGCAGGCGGCAGAGGCAGGGCCGGGCATGAGGGGGGCAGGCGGCACGGGGCTCACATACCACAGGCAGCATATGGAAAGGTACCGCACGCGTGGGTGCTTGGCGGCGCTGACCTGGCGGCCTCTGGCAGCGACGGCTCCAGCGCCCACCCCAGCAGCAGGTCGACCAGGTCCCGGAACCGAGCCCTGCAAGGACGGGCGCACAAGCGGTGCCAGCGATGGCTTTTGGCTGGAGGACAAGGGCAAGCACATCGAGCAAGGGCAATGCTCCAGTACCCTCCTCTCCCATTCCCTGGCAGCTGCTGTTGGCGCTGCTCGACCCCCCCGCCCCCACATACACACAGAAACTCTCACTTGAGCGAGTGCTGGTGGCGCGCGGCAGCGTGCAGCACCGCCAGCAGCGGCGGCAAGGCTGCCGGGGGCGCGGCCTCATCCTCCAGCAGAGCCTGGCAGGCGGCAAGCACGGCGTTGGCGTAGCGTGCCAGGGTGGTGGCGTCCACGCCTGCAGCGGCAACAAGCGCACCGCACGTCGCAGTTGGCGGTCGGCAGGCACACAATGAGGCACGAGGCGAAGGAGGGCTCAAGAGCAGCTTGACAGGCGCTGGGGAGGAAAGCTCACCGGCCAAGCAGTCTCTCAGCGCTGCCAGCACCGCCACCTGCTGGTGGGCTGCCAGCGGGCGGCCGCTGGGCGTCGCCCGCCGCTGAAGCACCGGCAGCAGCCAATCAAACAGCACGCCGCCGACGGAGCTGCCGCTGCCGCCGGCAGCTGCTGCGCCCGAGGCGCGTGCCGCACCGGAACCGCCTGCCTTGCTGGCGGCGGCAGCAGCTGCGGCCTGCGCTGCCAGGGCCCCCATGGCGCCCACAGCCGGCGCCGCCGCCGCGCTGACTGCAGGCGACGGGTCGCCCCACAGCAGCGCTAGCAGGCGCGGCCACAGCGTCGGCAGCTGCTGCAGGGCCTCGCGCTGCGCTGCCGGGTCAAACAGGCGCTGGTGCAGCTGCTGCAGGGCCGCGGCACGCGACGCCTGCGGAGCAATGCATGTGGGACGGCAATGGCGGGTGCCTATCAGCCTCCTGAAGTGGCGGGGCAAGATGCATGGGGAGCAGCAGGCTCAGCAGCAACCCACCGCAGGCAGGTTGGTGTCGGATGCTGTCACCACCAGCGCATCGATCGCTGCCGGCGCAGCGGCAGCCGCAGCGCCGCCGGCGCTGGCAGCTGCCAGCCGGCGGCCTGCAGGCCGCGTGGACTGGCGGCTGCTGGCGCCTGCACCGGGAGTGGGCTGGTGCCTGGCGCCGCGGCCTCCCTCGCTGCCACGCCCAGCGGAGGCGCCGCTGCCAGGCTGGCGCTGCTGCTGCTGCGGTGCCGGCGGCTGCCTGTCCGGCGTGGCCTGCTGTGGTTGGTGCCGCCGCGGCTGGTAGGGCTGGGGGCTGGGGAAGGCGCCCCTGCGCCGCGGCGGCGGCTGGTCCTGCTGCTGCCTCCCGTCTGCCATCACAGGTCGGTCAGCTAGTCAGCAGGGATGGGAGTGGGTGGGAGGAGAGGCTCCGGCCTGAGAGGAAGATCAGGCTGCCGGCTGGCACTGAGGCGCAGGGTCACCAGTCCTGCAAGCAGCAAATGCAGGCAAAACGTCTCGAAACAGGGAGGAGGGCTACGGGTGCTGCCCGGCACCGGCGGCGGCGACGGCGGCCTTGCGGGCCGAAAATGCAGGCTCTCCATCCCACCTGCACTCTTCAGCCACTGCACATTCTCCTCTCAGGCGTTGTGCCACCTCCACTGCGCAGCCAGGCGCCTCCTCGGGACAAGAAGAATGCCTCGCCCATGCTCGCTGGTTCGATCCGCCAGCTGCCTGGCGATGATCGCACGACCCTAGAGGCTAATCCACACGGGCCGGAGGGCTCCCAAGGCACGGTCTCCAAGGAGGTGCCAACAAGGCAGCCAAGACAGTGTCCAGGCTACGATGAAAAGCGTTGTGTAAAGGTGCAGATTGCATTCGGGCTGTGAGAACGGCGTGCGGGTGCGCCTCAGCACGCGCCCGCGTGGCGCCGCACCCGCCAACGCCACCTCGCGCCTGCAGTGCTGTTCCGCGTTGGTGGTTCACGAGTGGTTCAAGATTCGTTCGAAAACAGAGTACAGACCGGGGCCAACCAATGAATCTCGGCACAATTTCCCGACAAGAGCCTGCCTGTGCGGCCACACCAAACGTCGCACAAGGCCCCAGGAGCACCGTGGTGGGTGCAGAAAGAATTGGACAGGACAGTGTGACACGCTCATGGCACCGCCAAGGAGGCAAGATAAGCAGTGCTAAGCCACACTCTACGCTCGTTCTAATGAAATGGGCCAGCGGCCGGGACAGCGATGCTCGTCAGAAAGTGCTAGCGCCTCACCCTACCCCATCACTCACTGCAGTCAGGCGGCGGCACAGCCAAGCAGCACGAGGCCCGTGAGGCAATGCGAGGCAGCCACACTGCAAAGCGTAGCAATTGCCTGTGCCAGCACCCCCGGCCCACGCCACAGCCAGCGCCCACCAGAAGTAGCGGTCTCCAAAGTTGCCGCATCCCGGCACCACCCTGAAGTCTGTGTCGATGTAGTCGTCGATCTCAGAGGTGATGACCTGGCGCACAGGTGGTGGGGGAGCCAGGGGGTGGAAAGCATGGGTGGTGGTGGTGGTGGTGGTGGCACAGGTTTCAGGCAGGCACCACCACAGCTCTGCCTGCAGCGCTGCCTGCCCACCTTGATGCGTGGGAACCGTCTGCAGAGCGTGTGGATGCCCTCGGGAGCCGCGATCAGGCTGCAGGCCAGCACAGGACTGAGCGATCAGCGAAGCTCAACAAGGGCACAGTACGGCCTGCTCCTCCCTGCCTTACGCCACCACAACCACCACCACCACCACACCACACACACACACAGCCCGCCCACCTCAGGAACAGGATCTTGCCCTCCTCCACGCCCTTTTCCAGCAGCACGTTGACGGCGCGCGTTGCGGAGCCGCCAGTGCCCAGAATGGGATCCATGACCAGCACATACCTGCAGGCACGCACACAGCAGGACACCCACACCGGCGCTCAGCCAGCTACCTGAGCCGTGGGGCTGCCCGCGTGCCCGCAACTCTGTTGATGCCCAGGACACACGGAACCACACAGCACATGCAGCATGCCCACCGCTCCGCGATGTCTGTGGGCAGCTTCTCATACACGATCTCCTGCTCCATCACCCGGTCCTCCACCCTGAGGGCAGGCGGAGGCATGGAGCGGGGTGATCGCTCCGCCACATAACAGGACAGCAACCCGGGGCCCCGGCGCCGCAAAAACACAAGGGAAGGGCCTCGCCGCACTCCACCCCCACCCGCCCTGCGCTTGCGCCCCGCTCCCGCACCTGTGCACCAGGATCTTCCCAATCTTGATCCCCTTGCAGCAGGCCCGCAGCGCATTCTCCATGCTCTCCCCGCTGCGGATGATGCTCACGCCGCACAGCTTCTTGGCAAAGTCCACCCCAACATACTGGTGCCCCGTGGGCGTCACCACGGTCTTCTCCCTGCAGCACCAGCACACCGCCGCTCAACAGGCAAGTGCGCGTGCACACCCACGCCAGCCTGCCTGTGGCCAGAGCAAGCTCAAACGCATGCCAGCCTGCCCGTCCCATCATGTGCAGACCGGCGCCATGTGCGCTGTGGAAGGGCCTTCACCTGAAGGGCAGGTGCCCCAGGCTGGCCTCCACCACCAGGCGCAGCAGGCGGTCGGAATAGAAGACGTAGTCCGCCGTGGACGTCTCCCGATCTCGCACGATGGTGTGCATGCCGCGGATCTGGAAGTTGGAGGGGATGACCTGCGCCACAGCACAGCCAGGGGGCAGGGCAACGGCAGGCCCCGGCACGGCAAAGAGTGAGGCAAGGTGCCCGCAGCCAGAAAATGAAGGACAGGGCACGCCGCAACAGGCGGCGCCCCACCTCCAGGTTTGGGTAGATGCGGCGCAGATCGTGCTGCTGCAGCTTCATGCGGATGTGCTCGGTGATCAGGTCGATGGCCACCACATTGTCGCCCCTGCGGCGGGATGGCAAGTCACATTGTTGGAATGGCTCAACGCTCGGAGCATAGATGGAAGCAATGGCCAAGCCAGCCGGTCTATGCATCTCTTGGCCAAGACCGCAGCCACCGGCAGCAGCCTTACGCCTCATTGCAGCGGTGCCAGGGAATGATGATGTCAGCAAACTTGCGGGATGGCGCCACAAACTGGTCAAACGCTGGCTTCACAAATTTTGTGTACTGCTCAATCACGCCTGCCACGTCGCGGCCCCGCACCGCTACGTCGCGCTGGATTCTGCGCAGCAGGACGGGAATGATACGATTGAGCCACAGCGCAGCGGGTGCGTGACCCTGGCCTAGCCCTCTCCCGAGGCCCGACTTCCCCAGCTGCCCCACTCGCACCTGCGCGCCAGGCGCACGTCGTCGTCTGTGTCCACATACACCTTCATGTTGAGCATGGCGCGGATCTCCTCCATGTGCAGCACCAGGATGCCCTCGATGATCACCACGTCGGCGGGGGGTACCTGCAGGCAAGGCAGGCGGAAGAGGGCAGCTGCGATCAAGCCCTGAAGTAGGCTAGTGGCACCAGCGTCCCATAATGAGCCTGTGAGGCCAACAGCAGCCCAGGCAGGCAGTGCAGCAGCTACCCATGCAGCACATGCCATGCGGGTTCACCCGCCGCGTCTCGGTGCTGCGCTGGTGTGTTGTGAAGTCATAAACTGGCACCTCCACCACGCGCATCTCCTGCAGGGAGCATGGCGAGCATGGCAGAACATTGAATGCAATCTAATCAGCAACAGCAGCATTGCGAATTGACAGGGGAGGGGAGCGGTTGGGATGCATCCAACAAAGGCGACATCCCAAGAGCCTGGCCGCAGTGCTGCCGTATGCACCCCTCCTCACCCTGAGCTCTGTCAGGCACTTCATAATGGCCTCCTTGTCAAAGGCGGAGGGGTGGTCGAAGTTGTAGTCTGAAGAAGGCAGAGGAGGAGGGGAAGTGCCCTGTCAGCCTACCGCACACGGCTGGCAGCACAAGCAGGCAAGGTGATGAGTGGGCAGCGGACTAGCTTGATGCACGTGGCTAGCTGCACATGTCCCTCCGGTCGATCTGAGGCGGACCCCACTCACTCTTCACATCCTTGAGCTCCTCCTGGCTCAGGTTGCGGTAGAAGGAGTCCTGGCTGAGCATCACCACGCACTGGTCTGCAGGGGGGGGGGGGGGGGGGGGGGGGGGGGCCCCAACA